AAGCACAAAGGGGACCATCTCTTCAATCTTCAAAGGTTGCTTCTAAGATCCTTTGGAGAAAAATGGCACAATTTAGACATTTGACATTCCCTATGCATACTAATGCTGTGACTTCAAAAGCTCAGTCAACGAAGCTGGTCAGTGAGGTGTTATTTATTTTTACCAGGGAATGTTTGTTCCCCCTTTTGTTTTGTTTTCTTAACCTGTGGAGTCAGTTGCCAGAAACCACATCAAGAAGTGCTTGATGGAGTTGTTGCTGCATTGTGAATCAGGAAAGACCACTAAATCCCGGGTACTGACCTGCTGGGAGCACAGTTTTTGACAGTAATTTCCAGAGCAAGTTTGAGAGAATGGCAAAAACAAAAGAGAACCAATATCAGAGGCCCCATACAGCCAGGAGTGCAGAAGATGATGGTTCATTTGTTCTGCAGTATTACAGTTGCTCATGGTACAGTCTTTTACCTTGACAGGTGGACTTCTCTTTTTTTTTATTTTTAAAGGGAAGCCCCTGTTTAGACAATGTTTGCATAAAGGCTTTCAATAGACTCACAAATGTGAAAACTCTCCAAAGAAGGAAGAACATGTGCATTTACATGAAAATATAATTGGTAGATTTCTTGTCCTCTTTTTCCTACATATTCAAATAATTCTCCTTCTGGCCATGTTTCACTTGCAATAGCCTTTATTTAAAGCTTAATTCAGAGGAATCACAGTTTGTTAAGTCTTTTCTTTCCCTCTGGATTTTCTCTAAACCCCAAAAGCAGAGGCATTGGCCTGCATATAACATAGCAAGTATAGGACACAGTATGTAATAATTGGATATTTATCATAATGTTGCTTTCCCTGAACACTATTCATTAACTGCCCCATATTTAATTATACAGAAATTAGCATGGGGGAGTCTTTGGCTAGTGTATTTGTATATGCTATCAATTATGTCCTAATAAATTAATTTGCTCTTCAGGATTCACCAGAGGCATCAGTTGGGCCTCTGTGCTCCTGCTTGACTGTTCTGACTTTGAACAGGTTTATTCAGCTGCTGTCTGCTAAGCCCTACAGAAAAACACAATGGCTGCTGATCGGCCTTTTATGGTTTATTGGAAACTGGTGGTCCGCACTGTGGCTCTGGTCAGTGATTAACCCGCCAGAAAACAAACTACACAAGGCTAAGTTGATGTTGGAGGAGGAATGAGCTCACTTCATTAAGACTTGAAGAGGAAACCTTTTCTTCCTCAATGCTTGTTCAAAACTTTTCAGGTCTCTTTTTAATCACATAATTCTCTCTAAGTAGCAAGAGAAGCCTGCTGCACAGCAAGTGGTCTTTTGCCACATGACAACTTAGAAAGATAAATTATATATAAATATCTTCATGGTTTTGTGCATGGAGGAAACCAATTTTAGTATTACCCTGTGAAACAAATTTATTGTACTTGTTTCTTTATTAAAAGAAATCACTGGGTACACTCCAGGCTATTTCATGTACACAAATGGTGGTCTTAATATTTCTTTCAGGGTTCTCTTTCTTTGATAGGGTTATTGAAAATTCAGATGAAAGTTGCCTCTCTCCCTCCTTGTGATTCTAAACAAGGATTTGAAAGGAGCTATGGTGGAGGAGACTGTGGGCAAAGCCTCAAACAATACAGATTATTGCAAAATCAGAATAAAATAAATAAATAAATAAATATCTTTCCAGCTAGAATAGAAGGTAAAATAGGATCTATATGGCCTGGTTCTGTTTTTAGGAAGTATTGCATAATCTCTCTCTCTCTCTCTCTCTCTCTCTCTCTCTCTTTCAGCAAGCAACCTCAACTTTGTAGACTGTGAGTAAAAATTGTAGCAGATGTAGTTCAGATTTTGGCTACTCACTACTCTTGGGGGAGAGAAGAGGGTTTTCTTGGCCTTGAATTGAAAGTCATAAAGACATATAATAAGTGAACAGCAAAGGATTTCAATGGTGCCTTCCACTACTGAATTAAAGGATATAACTCACCTTTGCTTTGATCAAGCTTGAACTTGGGGTTCCTGTAGTAATGTGAGGAAGATCTTACTCTCTTTACTCACTTTCTCACTTGCACATTTTTTTTCCTATTAGATCTGGGGATACATACTTGATTGTCTTCCCCTGAGCCCCTCTACACACTCACATGAACAATGCACTCTAAGACATCATTATGGGAAGAGGTTTAATTAATCAAGAAAACACATAACAAATTTGTAGATTGCATAACAAGGAGAAAAGTCTCACAAAATCTTTATTATCATCAGGTACATGTAAGTCTTCAGAAACTCGCAATAACTGGAGAGTAAATCAGGAGGAGAGGAAGGATTCTACTATGCTGGAAGCCAGGTCCTCTGAGCTGGATACTACTGCCTGCTCTGTTGGCTGCTCTTCATGGGGGCCTTATTCATAATCCTTCCTTCATCAGAAATTTGTGCCCTAATTACAGTGAATCTTCCAATGAGACTGAAGCTCTGATTTTCTATCATCCATCTTCCATGATGTTATCTGTATCTTTCTTTTCTCTCTCCATGCCTCCTTACTCTCTGGTTTCAGTGGAAGGAGTTTTAAAAACCTCTCTGGATTTTTGGCAGAAACAAACTTCTGGTTTAGGTACCATATAAGTAATCTTTATTACTATTCCCTCCCTCTCCCTATCACTTTATACAGTGACTCCACTCCATCATTATATTTCCCCTACCCTTTCCAGTAGCAACAAATGTGATTAACACCATCCACTTGCTGATTATTAGAATATTACTCTTTACCTGTTGGGTTCTCTTATGCAAATGTTATATTACTGCTTCTCAAACTCCAATATGCACCACCAAACCACCTGGGGAATCTTGTTTAAATACAGATCTGACTTGATAGTTCTGGAGTGGGGGCCTAAGATTTAACATGTCTAATAAACTCCCAGATTATGATGATGATGATGGTTCCTGGACCACACTTTAAGTAGCAAGGCTCTAGAGTGGATCTTCCTAATCTCACCTTAAAAAGTAAGGTGTTCTGTGGCAATACTGTATTGTTAGAAAATCAAGCACTTTAATCAAGTGCTTTAATCAAGGCACAAAAGCTTGCCAGTGAATGTATATGCTTTTCTACATTAAAAACAAAGTTAAACTTGGTAATAATTACAGGCAAAGAAGAGGCACAGTTTGTGATGAAGTCCACAATGGAGAGAAAAAATGAAGCTAAATAAATATGACCTATCACTACAGGATATGAGTATGTTAAGGAAATTCAGTATTAAATTACATCTTGGTGGTATCATTGTGAAAAAAGTGTTCTCAGATGGGTGAATATTTTAGCTCTCTAGTGGTATTTCATAAAAGTCTTAATTTTAGGGTAGTATTTATTCTAAACTTTTCAGCTTCTAAAATTTTCTGGTAACCAGGTTTGTTAGAGTAGATGCTGGACCAGGTATATGCCTTAATCAAGACTGCTGTTTATTCTCTAATTTCTCAGATCCTTACAAAAATATTTGCTACAACACCTTTAAGCAATTTTAAGGAACTCAATCTTACTGTAGGATGTTGTTCCTAAGTCTAATCATAGTAGCTTATGCTGCAATTTAGACCATTATTATTTTGTTTAGCGAACCACAAAATCTTTATAATTTATCTACACTATACTGAGATAGTGCAAGGTTCTATGGGAGAGATAAATATTTTAAGAAATGGAGCACCACAGAGTACAAACAACTGTGTAATAGAATAAGACACAGCCTATAAATTCAAATGCTGTAATTTTAAGGATGTATAATATATTATTAAATGAAAAAGAAAATGTGCAAAATATGACATATTACTTCTTCTGTAAGAAATAAGAATATACACATAAATTTATGTATATATTTTTCCTTGAAAAAAATAAATAGAGAAAGGGTAAAACAAACTGTATGGATATTAGTGGAATCTGGTATAGAAGGTAAGAACAGAAGAAAAACTTTTTTTTACTTTATTTATTTTTTAATTTATAAATCATGTTTATTCCATTACAGTTGTGTCAATTTTTCCCCTTCAACCTCCCTCCACCCACCCCACCCCACCCCCCACTCCCACAGTCAATTCCCACTCTCTTGTCCATGCCCATGGGTCATTCATACAAGTGCTTTAAGTGCTTTGTCTAGTCCCTTCTGCTTCTTTCCACCATTGTCCTCTTTCCCCCTCCCCTCTGGTCACTTTCAGTCTGCTCCATGTTTCTGTGCCTATGGTTTATTTTGTTCATTAGTTTATTTTGTTGAATAGAGTCCACTTATAAGTGAGATCATATGGTATTTATCCTTCACCAACTGGCCCATTGCACTTAACTCAATATTCTCCAGTTTCATCCATGCTGTCACAAAAGGCAGCAGTTCCATCTCTCTCTGTTTCTTTCTTAAATGCGATTGATTTTTTTTTAATTTTTTAATGTCAAAGTTAATTATATTAAAAATGTAAAACCATTTTAAAGTCTCAGCAATTAAACCAGCATGACACATGCACAGAAATAATCAAGTACATCAATGAAATATAATGAACATTCTAGAGACAAACATATATATCTGACTAACAATATATGATTAAGTTGATATTTTAAGTCAATGGGTAAAATAAGGCTTATTCAACAAATAAGGTGCATGGACCACTATTACTTGAAATAAAACAAATATAGAGCTCTCTTTCACACATTATACAAGAAATACTCAGGTGAGTTAAAAATCAATACGTAGAATCTCAGGAGTTTTAGAAGAAAAAATAGAACTAATATTTTGCATTACCTGAAGTAAAATATTCAAACCCAGAAGCTCTAAAGTAAAAATTGACAACATGACTATATTAAACATTTAACTATATAGTAATATACATATAAAAAAGTTAAAGGACAAGGAATAAAATAGAAAGGTATTTGCAACACATCTAACTCATGGTTAATAGTTTTTTTTTTTGTTTTTAAAAGTTTTACAAACCTTCAATCAATAAATGGATAAATAATACCAAAAATCATTTAGAGCTTCGCCACTGATTTTGATCTACGGAAGTCATGTTACCCAATACAGGGAAGCTAGCAGGATGTACACTTTTTATCACAGGTGCAAGCCGTGGTATTGGCAACGCTATTGCATTGATAGCAGCAAAGGATGGAGCAAATGTTGTCATTGCTGCAAAGACCAGTCAAGCACATCCCAAACTTCCAGGCACTATCTATACTGCTGCTGAAGAAATCGAAGCTGCTGGAGGAAAGGACTTACCATGTATTGTTGATGTGAGAGATGAACTGCAAATCAGTAATGCAGTGGAGAAAGCAGTTGAGAAATTTGGAGGAATTGATATCTTGGTGAATAATGCCAGTGATATCAGCTTGACCAACACATTGGACACACCTACGAAGAAGGTGGATTTGATGATGAACGTTAACACCAGAGGCACCTACCTTACATCTAAAGCATGTATTCCTCATTTGAAAAGAGTAAAATTGCTCATATTCTCAATCTCAGCCCACCACTGAACCTAAATCCATTGTGGTTCAAACAGCACTGTTTTTATACCATTGCTAGGTATGGTATGTCTATGTGTGTGCTTGGAATTGCAGAAGAATTTAAAGGTGAAATTGCAGTCAATGCGTTATGGCCTAAAACAGCCATACACACTGCTGCTATGGATATGCTGGGAGGATCAGGTATTGAAAACCAATGTAGAAAAGTTGACATCATTGCAGATGCTGCGTATTCCATTTTCAAAAAGCCTAAAACTTTTACTGGCAACTTTATTATTGATGAAAATATGTTAAAAGAAGAAGGAATAAAGAATTTTGATGCCTATGCAATTAAACCAGGCCATCCCTTGTTACCATATTTCTTCTTAGATAAATTGCCAGATACAATTACCCAAAAAATGGAATTACATGATTCTGCTCCACAGCTGAAAGAAGAAAAGCCACAGCCACCATCAAAACCACGTTTTGGAGCTGTGGAAGAAACATTTAGAATTGTTAAGAACTCTCTCAGTGATGACATTGTTAAAGCCACTCAAGCAGTCTATAAGTTTGAACTCTCAGGTGAAGATGGTGGAACGTGGTTTCTTGATCTTAAAAACAAGGGTGGGAATGCTGGATATGGAGATCCATCTGATCAGGCAGATGTGGTGATGAGTACGTCCGCTGATGATTTTGTAAAAATGTTTTCAGGGAAACTAAAACCAACAATGGCATTCATGTCAGGAAAATTGAAGATTAAAGGAAACATGATGCTAGCAATCAAATTGGAGAAGTTAATGAATGAGATGTATGCCAAGCTGTGAAGGAAAAGAAAAAAATATGTTGAACTCTAAGCTCAAAAATTAAAAGGGCTCAACAGTTAAAATCTAATGTTTGTTTTCTTCCCTATTATATTTTATGGATATGCAATTTTATTCTGGAAAAAGTAAAATGTGTATTTGTAAAACTTGAAATTATAATGAAAACAGCTAGCTAATCAAACATGAGCTTCATTAAGTAGAATTCAAAGACATTCTGCTTTCTATGTTATGTGAGTTTTGCCCTCCAAGCACTATAAATCATTTACCAAATTCTTCTAGGAAAAGTATTAGGAGCAAGCAATCAGGGTCAAGCAGTAAAGTAACATTAGCTCTTTTCAAAGCTTCTTCCCATTTAAAATATGGTTAGTTCTAAAATTTTTAATTTGGGATTGTATACCAATGAAAATCTTAATGAGCAGAGGAGAGAAGATGGCGGAGGAGTGAATGGGAGTCATGCTGACCTCCTCCCAAGACCAAACTGGAATTGCAACTAAATAATGGAGTAATCACCTGGAAAGCAGTGGAGCGATAGTGGGAGAGGAGCCTTGGTGCCTCGGACAGTGGATTCTACTCTCACACATCCCAACGGGTGAGAAGTGCAGTGGAGGCTCGAGAGGGTGGGCTGGGTGCCCACGGGCACTAGCACCAGAGGGACATTGAAACGGCCAGTTAGCTCCCCCCGAGAAGAATGGGGTCTGAATCATAAACAGGGACCCCTAAACTACAGCAGCTAAAACCAAGAAAGTACAGACAAAACGCAACCCCGAAAACCTTAGGGGCACTCTCTGCCAGAGACAGGTGGCTGGGGATGCAAAGAGACATTTAAAGGGCAAACGCAAAAGTTGCAGTGGCAGCCACCCTCCTTGATCTCTGGGTAGAGGCGGCAGCGGGGTGGGCTGGTGTCTGGGAAAAGACTGGTGAGGAAAACTTTGTGAAGAGAACTGACATGGTGGACGGTAGAGCCTGGGTGATGGCACGCCTCCCACTCTGCAGCTACCATCTCACTCAGGCATAAGAGAATCGATTAACCTGCCTTTTGTGCACTCTGCACACAGCTTGTACACCTGTGAGCTGCGGGGCTGAGTGCAGAATGGCTGGGAGAGCCTTGAGGAGAGACTGGAGATGAAGGCACTGGGGAAAGAAAGGGAGGAGGAACTGGGGAGTCCCGACACCCTCCCCGTTCTGTAGTCTCCACTGTGGGATGGAAAGGCACGACCCCGAAGAGGCAGAAGCGGGGCGCGCATGAACCAGACTGCCTGCGATTGAAATGCAGGCCCCACAGGTGGTGGATACTTGGCCAAAAGGGTCACAGAACTCCCCAGAGACCCATGAGAGAGACTAGAAACAGAGGCCTTGGGGAAAGAAGGGAGGAGGACCCAGGGAATCCCGATTCCTTCTCCTTGCCTTAGTCTCCATTGCGCGGAAAGAGGCCACACCCCCAAAGAGCCAAAAGCCAAAAAGCACACATAGACACCCCAAAAACACCCAGTGCAGGCATGTACACTAGTGCCGAGTGACCGGCCAGGGTTGGCGAGCGTGTGTGTCACCCACATGGGCTTCCAAATACTTGTACCGGCCGGCAAGGCCTCCCACAGATTGAAACCCATATGGCCTGTGAGGGAGTGCACAGAGCAGCAAGGGCAGGCATAAATTGACCCACCTGCCCGCGATTGCAGAGCGGCCCACAAAATTAGTAGAGCTGCCCAGTGTCCCTGGAGGAGAGACCAGAGACAGGCTTATCCGGAGAGCCCTGGAGATGACTTCCTCCCATTTCCGTAGCCCCCATTTGGCAAGGGTAAGCAACACACCCAAAGAGAAAAAAGTGGGGTTAACACAATAGAAGACCCTAAACTGACCAATACCGCACAGCTCCCCAGCCAGGGGGGCCACATGAGTACACGAGGTCATGAATAAGCCCCCTGGACTGGGGCAAGCACATGCAAGCCCAGGAAGGCGGGGGATCCTGCCGCGCTGGGAGCGCACTCAAGGAGCCCAAGTGAGAGTGCAGAGAAATTCCCAAAAAAAGCCCAGCCCTGACCGAAAGGGTTGCAAAGCTGCTCGAAGCAGGAATCAGACATAGACATTAGACTCCTGGAAGGCTCAAACAAAAAACCCAAGGTCATATGGGGTCAACAACTGACATCATCAGAGGCAGGCCCAGAAAGAAAAGGCCAAAAATACTTAACAGACTCTCCCAAAAATGGGAAGAAAAAGAAGTTCCCCCCAAATGAGTGGAAAAGGGGACTCCCCACAGAGAGAGCTAAATGAAATAGAGGCAAGGGCACTACCAGATACTGAATTGAAAACAATGGCTCTAAGGAAGCTGAATGAGCTCAGCCAGCTGAAAGATAACTATGAGAAACTGCAGAGAAACTATCAGGATCTTACAGCAAACTATATCAGCCTGGAAAAGGACATAGAAACTATCAAGAATACACAAGAGGATATGAAGAATACCATTTCTGAATTGAAGAACACAGAAGAAGGAATCCAAAGCAGGCTGGATGAAGCCTAGGATTAAATCAGTGAGATGGAGGATAAGGTAGAAAGAAGCTCCCAGAAAAAACAAGAAATGGAAAAAAGACTCCAAAAAAATGAAGAGGCATTTAGGGAAATGCAAGACAACCTGAAACGCAATAATATCCATATAATAGGGATACTAGAAGGAGAAGAAGAAGAGCAAGGGATAGAGAACCTCCTCGAAAAAGTAATGATGGAAAATTTCCCTAATTTGAGGAATCCAGGAGGCACAGAGGACCCACTCAATAGGAACTCAAAGAGGGCCACTCCAGACACATCATCATTAAAATGGCAAATGTCAAAGAAAAGAGAGAATCCTCAAGGCAGCAAGGGAGAAGGAGAAAGTAACATACAAGGGGGCCCCGATACGCCTAGGAGCTGACTTCTCAACAGAAACACTACAAGCCAGAAGCGAATGGCAACAAATATTCCAAGCCATGAAAAGCAAGGGCCTACAGCCAAGGCTGCTCTACTGGGCTAGGCTCTCCATTAAAATAGAGGGGGAAATATGGAGATTCCTAGACAAGAGAAGACTAAAAGAATACATCTCTGCCAAACCGAAGACTAAAAGAATACATCTCTGCCAAACCAGCACTCCAAGATATGCTAAAGGGAAATAGTTTAAGCAGATAAAGGAAAAGAATGAGAGAGAGAGGAACACAGGTACAAAGAGAAAAGATGAGTAACTTTGATCAGTAATATCTCTCAATGTGAAGGGAATAAATGCCCCAATCAAAAGACACAGGATAGCTGAATGGATAAGAAAACATGACCCACACGTATGCTGCCTACAACAGACCCACCTCAGAGCAAGAGACCTACAGATTGAAAGTAAAGAGATGGAAAACATATTCCAAGCAAATGGGCATGAGAAAAAGGCCAGGGTTGCCATACTTGTATCAGATAAAGTAGATTTCAAAATAAAGGCCATAAAGAGAGACCCAGAAGGGCACTTTATAATACTTAAAGGAAGAATCTATCGAAAGACATCAACATTGTAAACTTATATGCTCTCAATGTAGGAGCCCCCAAGTTTATAAGGAAATTGTTGGATAACTTCAAAAAAGATATAGACAGCAACACACTGATAGTAGGGGATTTCAACAATCTACTCTCAAAAATGGACAGATCTTGCCAACAAAACATTAATAAACATATTGTGGCGCTGAATGACACACTGAATCAAAGAGACTTAACTGACATATATAGAACCTTACATCCCAAAGAAGCAAAATACACATTCTTTTCAAATACTCATGGCAGTTTTTCAAAGATAGACCACATGATAGGACACAAAACAAACCTCAGCAAATTCAGGAAACTTGAAATAATAACAAACATTTTCTCAGACCACAAGGGCTTGAAACTGAAAATCAACCTCAAAGAGTAACTTCAAAACTTTCAAACTCATGGAGACTGAACAGTATTCTATTAAACAATGAATGAGTCAATAATGAGATAAGAGAAAAAATCAAAAAATTTCTGGAAACAAATGAAAATGAACAGACAACAGTCCAAAACCTATGGGACACAGCAAAGGCGGTCCTGAGAGGGAAGTTCATAGCAATACAGGCTTACCTAAAAAAAGATAGAAACATTTAAAATAAAAGACCTCACACTACAACTCCAAGAACAGGAGAAACAAGAACAAATAAATCCCAGAGCAAGGGGAAGGAAGGAAATAGTCAAGATTAGAGCAGAACTGATCAACATAAAGTGGAAAAGAACAATTCAGAGGATCAACCAATCCAGAAGCTGGTTCTTTGAAAAGATAAATAAAATTGACAAGCCTTTAAGCAGACACATCAAGAAAAAAATTGAGAGGACCCACATTAATAATATCAGAAATGAAAGAGGAGAAGTAACAGCTGATACTACAGAAATACAAATGATCATCAGAAACTACTAAAAACAATTATATGGCAAGAAATTTGAAAACCTTGATGAAATGGACAAATTTTTAGAAAAGTATAATCTTTCAACACTGAAGGAAGAAAAAACAGAAAGTTTGAACAGATCGATAACAGCTGGGGAAATTGCAGCAGTAATCAAGATACTCCCAGCACACAAAAGCTCAGGGCCGGACGGTTTCATAGGAGAATTTTACAAAACATTTAAGGAAGAGCTAACCCCTGTCCTTCTCAGACTATTCCAAAAAATCCAAGAGGAGGGAAGGCTCCCAGACTCTTTTTATGAGGCCAGCATCACCCTGATCCCAAAACCAGATAAAGACCATACAAAGAAAAAAAACTACGGGCCAATTTCGCTGATGAACATAGATGCTAAAATCCTCAACAAAATATTGGCAAACCACATCCAGCAATACATTAAAAAGATTATCCACCACGATCAAGTGGGATTCATCCCACAGATGCAGGGATGGTTCAATATATGCAAATCAGTAAACGTGATATATCACATAAACAGAAGAAAAGACAAAAAACACGTGATCATCTCGATAGATGCAGAAAAAGCATTCAATAAGGCACAGCACCCATTTATGATCAAAACACTCAGCGCCAT